AAAAAAATCAAACTAAATTCAAGTTTACTTTGATAAAGAAAAGATTCTTTCTTTCTGTCCCACAGCTTGTACCTTCAAAAAAGGTTTTTATTTTTCACTCATTGAGTTAACGTCAACAATCAGAGCTTCTATTCTACTCACCCGTTGTCTTTGGTGACTTTCACAGTGTTTTTCACAACACCCTGTTAGCAAAATGTCTTAAGAATCATTCTCATTTACCATTGAATGATTTTCAGTGAAACATTTAGAAAGTAATTTTGTTRGTACATCTTCAGCTGAGTGAGTTTTTAAGTTGGATCAATTCAAGATGTTCACCCTAGCTGAGTCTAACCAACAAGTTGCAGCTCACTTCATTTTACTGATGTGGTGCAATGGATAAGATGAGAAATAATAACAGTATTACTCTGGTACATGTGTAGTTTAGGGCACACACACACACACACACACTCACACACTGTTCTAGGTATTATCAGGTATGGATGGGTGGGGGGGGGTGATGGGAGGAGTGAGACTCTGATGTGAGGAGGAAGGCTGGGTGTCAGGTGGAAGTGACAGCAGATTCCAGAGACAGGAGGAAATGAAGGTGTTAAACTGGTTCCAGTAGGTTTTGTGTGGAAGATAGAAAAGCTTTGTTACTGGTGTTGATGATGTTGTTTGCAGAGGGCACAGATTCTGTCATGGAAATGAGAATACTTTCAGCCCCCCACCCCCTCACAGGGCTGTGACTTTATGGAGCACACTCTGTGTGAGGGTGCTGGAGGGTAAAAACCAGTTATTAGGCAGCGGGAGATAGAGGACGGTGTCAGAAACTGTTTTCTTTCCATCCTGATGTTTTATCTGGTAAGGCTGATAAGAAACACTCTGTTTAAGTTCTGAAATGTACTTGTTCTGGATTCATTAGGAGCAAGAGTCCKGAAAAACCATTTCTGCCTCTTTGCTCACAAAATAAAAAGACTTGGACTGAGATCATCACCTTGTTTTTCTCAGCTCACTTCCAGTATTCCGTGAAGGCTGCTGGTGATCCCTCAGAAA